CCTGGCGGCCGCGATGGCCGCGGGGCCGGGGCGGCGCCGCGCCGGGGGCAGAGTCCAGCGCGGGCGGCAGCGACCGCAGGAGCCCGGGGCCGGCGCGGAAGATGCCGCTGGGGCTGAGGAGCAAGAAGAAGGACAAGTCTAAGGAGACCTTCAAGCTGGTGGAGAGCGAGGCGGCGGCGCCGGCCCCCGCGGCGGCCCCGGCGCCGTCGGCCAGCGCGTCGCGGCTGCAGTTCCACACGCAGCTGGCGCACGGCAGCCCCACGGGCCGCGTGGAGGGCTTCGGCAGCGCCCGCGAGCTGTACGCCCGCATCGGAGAGGCGTTCGGCATCCACCCCGCCCAGGTAGGGCCGGCACCGCCGCGGCCGCCGGGGCTGTTCAGCGCCCTGCCCCGTCCTCTGCCACGGGCTTGTGAGGACATGCCTGCTTTGCGCTGCTCGGGAGGAAAAACTCCCTTTGCTATTCCAAATGAGCGTTATCGTACGGGAAAAGACATAGGTGTGACTGCATTTAACACTTACATGGTAAAAACAGTGGTCCTCTTGACCCAAACTCCAGTGTCTCGGTAACCTGTTGCCGGCTGCTGTTTGACGCTGCTCTTAGGCAGTGCTTCATTCCAGTTAAAAAAGGGACAGCGGATTTATGAGGCTGAATACCCAGAATGAAGGCATTGGAAGAGGAGGGTATGTGGTATAAATGCCCTGAATCGTACTGCATTTTAAAATTTTAGCCGAAAGTGATGTTTGGAAAGTTTTTTTGCTTTATCAGGTAATTATTTTTAAAGTGTTCACTGTTCAAATGGAGTTAAATTTAAGTCTGTAACAAGATTCCTTTTTAAGCTCTGCTGCCTTTTTGATCTTTTCTTTTTCTGAGCCGTGTTCTAAACATTTGTTTGGATAATGATTCATTTGTGTTTGTAAATGCATTGTTTTCTCTTAGTTAAAAGGTAGTGGCCATATCAAGTTCTTCCTATGTGGTTCTTTGAACCTTAACCTCTGAATGGCAAGCTGAAACAGAGGGCTAACATTTCATTATGCCTACGTGTGGCTGTACAGCTTTACTTGTTTTCTTCTTTGTAGATGACTTTTAAAGAAGTTGTAAAGACTGCTGCTACTACAGGCTTTGTTCAGAGTTTGCTGTGGCCTGATGTAGCATTTCAAATAGTAAATTGTAAAGGGAAAGTGGCAGTAGCAGTGAATACAGTTTAATCAGTCACTGTTACATTAAGTAATTAATAGGCAATGCATCAGTGTCCCAGACCTTCCCAGCTGCTTTCTGATCTTCTGCTCCTTTGTTTTCTTTTCACCCTGAGCTGCTGTTCCCCTTTTGTTCTGTTCTATCTCAGTTATACCTTGTGTTCTCAAGTTCTCACAATCACCAGACTGTCTTCTATTTTAGTTTTCTTCCTTTCAGTGTTGAACTTTTGGCTCCACTGACTTGAGAAAGAACAGCTTTCACAGAGAAATTTAATTTTGTATGAATGGTGTGCTCCTGTTTCTCCTGCTAGATGTATACTCTGACACCCTCAGAGGTTGTAGAGGAAGCACCACATATCATGGGCATATACTGCCAGCCTTGTGCCAGACTGGAGAAGCTTCTTATTTTCTTTTTCTCCTAATGTTCCATTCCTTAATTTTTATTTTTTTTAAATGTGGCTTATTGCTAAAAATGAATAGAGTATTATTCCTGGAGGCACTGAACTTAAAATCTTTTACTCCAGAAATTCTGTTGGCTTTAAGAAAGTTGTATGATATGAAAATAATGAACAAAAATATCTCCTGGTATAAAGGTGGCATAACAGAGTGAAGAATTCAGACCAGAGAGTCATGCAACAGATTTTTGCATAGAGACAGGATAGATCATTGAACAGCAAAGAAATGTGAATTTATTCGAATTTATTTTAAATTATCTATTCATTAAAACTGCTTGTGGACAGATAGTCTGATGTAAAGAATAATGCCAGAAGCTACATCTCAGCAAACTGAAGGACGCTCAGGTACTCAAATGCCATTTGCAGGTGTTACCTGTCTAGGAAAGTTTCAGTGACCCAGCTCTGCTGAAGCCTGTGGGAAGTGTGTGATACCCACACGTGACTGCCTTTGGAAACAGGTCCTATCACAGACATCTCCACCCTGGAGTGGCTGGGCTGGAAAATAGTGGGGGAGGGAGGGAGGGGAAGAGCTCTGTGTAGAGAGCATTCAGAGACCTTTTGCAGAAATGAATACATTTAATACGGTATGCGAGTTTGCCTCAGGGTAGGCAGGAGTATGGATTCTTGGATAAATTCATGCCTAAGTGTTGTAATACGATTCTGAATGAGCTGTACTTGTAATCTGTCACTTCTCCTTTTGACTCCACGTGGTTACAGAACTTCTTTTCCTCTTTGGATCGCACCTCCCGGGACCAGCTGAATTCAGTTTCTGCTGGAGAATCCATTCCAGGTTCTGTGATTGACTGCCAACAGTGACAGAGAGAAGTTTATATAAAACACAGTATTTGTTGGACAGACACTGACAGAAACTTCTGTGCAGACCTGGATCATGAGTAGGGTGGGATGGGGACAGGAATAGGGGGCAGGATGGCTTCAAAGGGGATCTTCGCTGGGTATCTATGGAGGAGTGACACATGACAGGTGCTTTCTGAGGCTTTTCCTGTACTCATCCTTTCTTGTAGGTATTTTATATACCTCTTACCCCTTTTGAGCTGAGGGGTAGGCAGAAGCCTTTCTTCCTGCCTACCTCTGACTTTTACAACGTCCAGCGCTTCTGCTTGTCTCTGTCCAAGGTGACTGTTCTTGCCCCAGGGAGGAGGAGTGAATGTGGCTTCTAGCAATACATTGCCTGTGTTATTGACACCAAAACTGCAGGAGAAAGAAATACAGACAAAACCCAAATAAATTTGTGTTCACTGCTCTTAAATTTGGCAATTCTTAGTATTCAGTCTCCTATTGGTTATTGATCCCCTTGCCTTCAATGCTAATTTGGTCCTCATTCTTCAGTTCTCTTATTAGTCTTTTCCCAGACCAGGTGTCTCAGGCTGTGCCAGGGAGTGATGTTCTCTTATCTCCTGTGTATCTTCTGGCTACTCCCAATCTATGAATGTTAAAATGTTAAACCCCGGTGAAGAGTCTTGTAAAGAGAAACTTCAATTCCCCTCCCCCTGGGCAAAGGAGAACAAATCTCTGACAAAAGTTACATTAAAAAATGTAAGTTTTATCATTTCCAGCATAGTTATTATGAGTGTTGTTTGAGGTACATCACATTTTTCTTGACTTTTAACTTGATTACTGCAACAAGCTTTCAACAAGAAAGCACAGAGCTAAAAAAATATAGATAGATAGACAGATGCAACTCTTAACTAACAACACAACCCACGCACAGTTACGTGTATGTTTCTGCTTGCATAAATAATATAAATATTCCCTTATTTTTTCTATGGAGGTTGAAGTAGGAAAAATAGTTGGAAAAAGTATTTACGTGTAGCTTTGGCCTTTTAGAATTGCTACTCCACTCTGACTATTGGGAATGTAGCAGGGAATGTTCCCCGTAAGGGTGAAAGTGCTGAGTGCAGTCTGTATGATAAATAAATGAGCACTGACTGAAGGACAATGTGGGTCTGTTAAGGCATTTGGTGGTGGTGTGCTCCTGTGAGAGCACATGGTAGGGCTTTAAAGTATTCAGAGTAGCTAATCAGGCACTGAGAACGTGGATATTAAAGTCCAGCTGTAGCAGGGCTATTTCTTGATCAGACGAGAAGGGAATGGTAACCCATAGAAGCTGCGTGGACTTTTGGTTTGCTTACTTGCAATTTTCGTTTTGATTATTTTGTTTGCTTTGAACGGTGAAATGTGGTGGGGCAGGTGAACTAAACTTAATGCTCCATGGCTGTGTCTGTCCAGAGCCCTTGGAGGTTGGGGTTTCTTTCACCTCAGTGGAAGGAATTTTGCATCACAAGGGTAATTCAGACCTTTCTGGCAGCTCCCTCTTTCTCTTCCAGTAGCAAGAGTTCAGCTGCTGAGCTTGTGTGGGCTGTAGTTCCACAGGCCTTGCCTCCTCATGCTAAACAGTCAAGTATACAGTGAGGCTGTGCCACATTAAACTTTCATAGAAGTATTTGATTTAAACCTGTTCAATTTAAACTTTTATGAAAGACTGCTGACAAATAAGCCACTGCTGAAACTTGTGTTTCTGAACAAAACTGTCCTTTCAACAATAAAAAATCTGAAGTGTGTTTTAGAGAAAGGTTTAGCTTGTGAAATCCTCATCACCAAAATCTTGCAAGTTTTATTGTTGCGCTTATCTGTTGAAAGAAATTGCTCACAATCACGCCTACAGATTGAATACTTTAAATGAGCAAACTTAACACTCCCTACAAAACACCTCCTCCCAACCCTATGGCAAGAATTGTTTGCTTGCTGTTTCCCTGAGCAGTCTTTAAATGTCACACCCATATTGCATGTGATGCTTGCTGTGTCTTTTCCAATACTTTAACTGAAAGTATTTGAAATATTAGTATGGAAATAATTGGATGGAAGAACTTACCCTGTAATTACTTGTGTACACTGTATTACACTGTAATACTTGTGTGCAAAAAAACCAAAAACCCAAACAAAAAAAACCCCAACCAAATCTCAAGACAAACAGCAAAACACTGAATACTTATTTTATAAGCCTTTGAATATATTGACCAGGCTGAATACCTGACAGTACCAAAACCACACGAGAACTTGGAGGAGTTGGTTACTCTCTTCCTGTTGCTGAAGCTGGTCAAGGCTCCCACATTTTCCTTGGGAGAGATAAAGTGAGTAAGATACCGAGAAAATGCACTGGTGATTTCTTGATATGATGACATCTACATATATAGGGAAGTATGTCAGTGGGTGTTACATGTTGCTCATAATTAAATTCCCAGTTCCCTTCCTCTTAACTTTACAGAGATCATAATAATTTAATGTTTATCAGAGATTTTTAATACATTTTCAATAGCTTCTGAGTATGTAATCTATCAACCCACTCATTATTGAGTTCTCAAGGTGTCAGCTCAATATGGAAGATCAGAGTACAATTAATGTATAGAACATGCAATATGGTGCTGCATATATACTTTATATAACACATCACGCAACCCTCTTTTTCTTAGCTAATATAATTTCTTTATATAACACACAGTGTAGCCCTGGTTTTGTTGGCTTATGTGGTCTCTTCCAATTGAAAATATGGGTGCAGGGAATAATCTGTTAGTAATCTTATTGGAGATATCTATTTTATCAAGTTGTGCATAAGCCCCTAGTGTCCAGCAACATGGAATTTCCTTCTTCTGAGTGGTGCAGAAGATAACTCTTGGTGAAGGAGGTATCCTAGATACTTTGTGACTGATGTAATCCTTCTGATTTATAATATCTTGCTAAAGTTGGCATGAAATATTCACAGCACTGGTACACTGAGTTAAAGACCAAATGCCTATGAAGTTTTAGGGTGAAGACAGAAGAGACTTAACCATGAGAATTGTGCATTGAATTTTTTTCTTGTTTCATTTTTGAATAAGAAAATTACTATTAAAAATATGCAAAAGTTTGAGTGAGTGGAAGCTGTTTAAGTATTCAGGTATATAATCTGTCATTAGGTACCAATATTAAACTTATGTAAAATCTATGAAAATACCATTTTTGAATCAATAGGTCTCAGTTGTGTACAAATAAAGCTATGTTACAACTGGTAGATGGTGTGGTGATATATCTTTCTGGGTAGGCACATCTTTAGTACATTACTCTTTGCATATATCTGTTCTGAGAAAAAGCAGTTGTTCACTAAAGAGGATGAAGAATGATTTAAGTTTTATTTTTGACTAGCTGATGCTCTCTCAGCCTTGTGGTTAGCACAGAACTGACTCACAAAAAATTCTGTAGACTTATAGGCTGTAGTAGGAATGCCATCCAGATGAAGATCTATAAAGAGAAACTCTGGATCAAGTTTCTAAATATCACATTTCTCCTCTGTTGCCAATTTTATCTATTCAAAGGTGTGACAGTATTTACTAGATTGTCTGTTTGACAAGGTCAGATGAAGGATGCTAATGTCTAAAATGTGAAGACAGTCGTTGTTATTCATGGCAGGAAGGCTGAACAGAGAACTGAGTTACCATTCCATTTTAAACTGGCAAAGTTATGTAACTTGAGAGAGCTGAAAATGTGTATGTGAACTTGATATCATCTGTTTTGATTTTTTGTTTAAAAAAAGCTTGTAATTAGAGATTATTATCATTATAAGTATTATTATATACAATTTTCTTCTTAAAACCAGATTAATTTCTCTAGGTGTTGTTATATCTAGAGTAGTGTTTAACTGAAAACCCTTGTATTACCTGAGCAAATAAAACTAATGTCTGTTAAGGGTGTGCTGTTACAACTTTCATTGTTAAATAAGGTGTTAAATTGCAGTGGATGTTTGATGGATTAGATGAGATAAAGCAAGTAGTCATTGAAGCAAGGCTGTTTGGTTGGGCGTTTTTTTTGTTTTGTTTTTAAAAACAGGGACTAAACAAGACCTCTGTCAAGAAACACAATCTCTCTATTAACTTTGTCTTTTAAGATTAAAACCCTCATAGTTACAGAATCTAAATCCTAGAAAGCTCCAGAAACTTGAATGTTCTCTGTGAAATAAATTAGTAAAAGTATCCACTCTGTTTGACCTGGAGTCAATTTAAACAGGTTGGTAACTTTCATTTCAATTTTTCCGCTTTATTCCAGTGATGCCAGAAGGAATTAAAAGGTCATGTGTAGTGTTCTGGGGTGGAAAACCCATTCTTTGCCTCAGTGAAGTAGATTTTAGGGATTTCTCTTGGAGCTCAGAGTCTCTCTGGTTTGGCTGCTGCCCTGTGCTCTGTGCTGCCCAGGAGGAACCTGGGGTTCCCTTGGCCCTCGCTCCTCTCCTGCTGCAGCCTGGAAAGGCTCGGGCACCTGTCATTACCGTAGCTCTGGTGGTGTGCTGGGCTCGGCCAAATTCCTTCATGCAGCTCCGTGGTGGGCAACAGCATCTCTGCTCCCAGGCAGTGCAGAAGGATTGCTCTCACCCTGCCTGTGCCCAGGACAAGAAACCTCCCTGCAGAAGAACTGGCATAAGTGTAGCGAGAAAAAGGACTGCCTCATAGCCAGTGCTGAAGGGAAATCCCTCAGAAAAGCTGATTTATAAAGAAGCAATTTCACCTTTTTATTAAGCCTGGCTTTTACTGGAACAGGGGTGACCCCAACTCGTGCTGGGGAAGGGTAGGAACTAAGCAAGCCCATTGGAGAAAACATGCTCTGAGCTGATGAGGGAACACTGGAGCAATACAAAGCATTTCATGCTCTCTCATGACTTTTGTTTTGATAAGCTCTCTATTTTTTTTTTTTTTCTTACCATTAAACTGTTTTCAGCTAATCAAGTTTTAAAGTGATCAAGCTCTCTTTTTTTTTTTTCTTACCGTTAAACTGTTTTCAGCTAATCAAGTTTTAAAGTAGTCCCTAGTGATCTTTGAATCAGGTGGAATTTGAGGTGGGTGAATGATGAGGCAAAAGATGGCTCTTCAGTTTGCTTACTCTGACCTGTGGTGCAAGCTGTAGCAGCTCAGGGTGCCTCTCTCAGGGCTGCTGTGCTGAGACAGGCCTTGGGAGCCTGCTCACACAGGGACGTCTCTTTCCTATGTTCCCTGCCAGCTCTCACCTGCACTTTGAGCTCCTGGTGCTTTCTGTTGTGTGTGGATGGAGACTACTCCTGGTGCAGCTGGAGAGGAAGGGGGATCACTTGAGCTATGGACCTGTCACAGGGGCCTGAACTGAGCTCTCATGTCAGCTTCTTGTCAAGCTCACCAAACCTAACACACTGTTACTGTGTTTGCTTTCCTTCTGCACAGATCATGTTTTGCACTTTGAACACTCATAAAGTTGATATGGACAAGCTCTTAGGTGCACAGATTGGCCTTGAAGATTTCATATTTGCCCATGTGAAAGGACAGCGAAAAGAAGTGGAAATTCTTAAAACTGATGAAATGCTGGGACTTACCATTACAGACAATGGAACTGGCTGTGCCTTTATAAAGGTAAACTTAATTACCAGTGAAATACTTTGTTCTATACAAGCTCCTGTTACTATAATAGGTTAATTATTGGTTTCATGATCCTTTAGAACTATAAAATCTTTTATTATCATATATATGATAAGTAAAGAATAAAGTTGCTTTTCTTTAGGTACATGATTCAAAATTAGTTCAGCTAATCTGTACTGTATGTCATTCAAAATCAGTTCATTTGTTCATTGCTTCTGTAACGTGTATCAGCTTTACAATGAGAGCATTGTATCTCCTGAGCTACCCTGAGGTGGTAGGTGTTAGATACTGCTTGCATCTGCCCCCTCCTGTTTTAAACTGATTTTCTGATGTCATTTATTAGATGCTTATAGAATTTCTGTTACTCATGTGATAATGAGATCATGTTCTTTCAGTCTTTGGCTGTTCCCAGGGCAGAAGCCTTTGTGCTGTACAAGAGCAGGGGCAAATATAGTGGTTTTTCAGCTTTCCAGTATTGTTGCCTTAGATAGGGTGAATTACAAGGGTATGGATTAACACAATTTACCACAATGAGTTTGAGTAGCAAGTATGGGCAGTAACATACTCAGTATATTAATCATAATTGCTTTCCTTCTCCTCTTCTATATGACCTAGAGGCAATATGTTTTGAGACAAGTAGAGGCTTATGAAATGATGCTGCCCTTCTTGCTAGACGAGGTATTAGGAATCTTAATCACATTTTCTGCCTTTTTGAGATTCTTTGCTCTAATATACTCTGGTTACCCATTATTAGAGAGGCATTAGCAATTATCTTTGATTACTGCTACCCCAATCTCTGTTCTCATTGTAAACAGAGCTTTTGTATGGAGAAGTTGTATTTTCTGTTCATTCCTTAGCTACCATGGCTGTAAAACAGGACACGGTTTACAAATTGGTTTGTTTGTCTTTGCTGTGGAAAAATGTGACTGAGGTCATGTTTGTACAAGTCAAGATGCAGTGAAGGTTTCACTAAGCGTTTTGGCAAAATCATAGCCCGACTTTTATGTTTATTGATGAAGAACTGCAAATTTCTAGTGGTGGCATCTATACAGCCCATAACATTCAGTCGTGCTGCTGCTTATGTGGCGTTTTAAAAGAAGGCATTGAAGCAGTGCTTCAGTGAGCAGCGCTCACGAGTGCAGCCCTGTGCAGTGACACTCCCTTTGTGCTTGCTTGGTAACAGGCAGAGAGAACAGCCCTCACACAGACTGCTGCACAATTGGAGCACGCTGGAAAACCCTCACAACATTGGCCAGACAAGCTGTAATTTCCAGTAAATTGTGTAAAAGTCCTCTTAACAAATATATATTATTTTTCCTTGTACTGGTCTAATAACAATCATTGTAATGAAAATGATGCGGTCTTCTTGGGATTACATCAGTTTTAAGGAGTTTCTAGGAGCATACTTTGTTGCTGCTGCACATGTAGCTAATGGATCTTTTAAATCAGCATAGAAAATGCATATACAAAAGTGAAAGCTGCATCCTTTTTATTACTTCATTGTCTAGGTAAATGAGACTGTCTCTAAAGTTTTAACGAATTTTTTTTGCTTATATACATATATTTTCCTTAAAAATTTTAACTGTGTCCCAATCCTAATTAAAAATTAATACTAAATTTACTGATTGGTGTGTTACTGGTTGGTGGGTTGTAGTTATTTTACTGCATTTTGAATAACAGGGAGGTTTCTAGGTTTGATGTGGTAACCCAACCAATTTTAACCTGACGCTGAACTGCAGGGCTTTTTCCTATGAAATTTAATCTTGTTTTGCCTTACTAAGAGCAAAACCTGTTGTCATTCTGCTTTCACAAATTATTTTGGGGGGTACACAGGCAGGTGGGAAAAAGTATTATGGAGTCAAATTAGCATTCAAAGAACAGCAGTAGAACTTGAAGTATGACTGAGTGGTGTACAAGGAGATATTATTAAATGGAGTAGGCATTGCATAGGAAATATAGATCCTCATAGCTTCTCAATGGACTGTAGAGCACTTGAAATACAGGCAATTGCATCTTAATTACTGTGACAGTGTAGCTTGACTGTCTCAGTCAGTTAACTTGGAGTGATGATAAAAAGTGACACAAATAACAGCCAGTGAATATTATTTAAACTGTCTTAGTGTTGGGATCCAAGTGCTAAGAAGAAAAGCTAAATGAATATTAAACAAGTAGACTGAACATTGATTGAGCTGAGTGGGACAGGTTTTGAGTCCTGGTAACAGAAATGCATTTGGCACATTTGGTTTCTGGTGCGTACAGTAGCCACATTCACCACGAGGCTTCTGTTTGGTGCTAGAAGGAGTTAAACTCAGCCTGAAGCTGACAAAGATTGCAGTGCCCTGCATGCCAGTGAGCACTCTCACACTTCCTTCCCACTGACTCTGAGATGGAGGCACAAGTGTGGGCTCAGCCGCGCGCCGGGACAGCAGCAGCTCCCGGAGCGCTGCGCCACCAGGCTGAGCTGTTATCTCACACAGTTAGCCTGAACCACTCAGTCCTTGTTGAAAAGATTGTTATTCAGGAACACGTTAGAATGAAATTTGTATCTGCAGAATAAAAGATACTTTACTATGTCATAGCTTTTCTATTCAATAGCCATATAATAATGGCTGAAGTGATGTATGCACACGATGAACAAATATGACAGTATGTAACAACAATAAACAGAATCACTGAAATTTAAAGTGTGATAAATCGTAGAGATATTTTAAAGGTTTTTCCCCATACTTTTAAAATTACACTTCATAGGAGCTATAACTTCTGTTATGACTTTTAGACTATTTGTGTTTTCCATGAGATGGCAGTTTTCCATGAGATGGCAGTTAAAATGTTTTCCTATTCTTTATTATTTCAAAGGATATCCTTTAATATACAGCTGTATAGCTTAATGAGGAAAGTAGTAGTTTCAGCACTGGGGATGGGTCTTAAGAAGATCAGCCCTTTATAGTATGTAACTTTTTACTATGTCCCTGGACTAAACTTGAGAAGAGAAAAATTCTGTTCCTATGCTTGTCAAGCTATTAAATAGAAAAACCCCAAAAACTTGAATAACCATCCTCATTACTGAAATGTCTGTGATCAGTTTTAAAGCACAAAAATATTAGGTTATTCACAACTCTTTATTTCTAAAGTGTGGTTCCTTTTTTCCCTGTCTGATTGTATATTCAATGCTTATTAAAATACTTTGTTTGAAAAATAATGCTTTTCAAAATATGTTTTACGACAATCTTATTGAAAAAACACACTGCTGGAATAATAATATCAGTAGTATTGGTATTGTTAACTGACATGCTTGAAACTTGGTGGTGTCACCTCTTAAAAACTATCACCTTTTAAAGAAATGTTTCTAATTCTGGTGGTGTGTTTTTGTTTTTTTTTTTAAACAATAGCGAATTAAAGAAGGCAGTATTATGGACCAAACCAAAACCGTCTGCGTGGGTGATCACATAGAGACCATAAACGGAAAAAACGTGTCACAGTGTCGGCATTACGAAGTTGCCAAAATGCTAAAAGATCTGGAGAAAGGTCAGAAGTTTAAGCTGGAGTTGGTAGAGCCTTTGAAAGCATTTGGTGAGTGACCTGACTGTCCACCTTGTTCAGTAAAACACCTTGACAGTAAAATCCCATCATTGCATTGCTTTGTGAGTTTGTTTTCAGAAAGCAGCCGGGTGTCCGCCTATGGTAACATAACTACTACAAGAAAGTACACTTAGTTTTTTTCGTTGAAGTGGAAGATTTATGAATGGATTTTCTTCCATCTTGCTTTCTCCAGCAGTCATCCTGGTGTGAGTTACCTCACCTGAGCCTTCGTCAGTCTCTTTTACCACTACATGATGTTGCAAAATAAGATCAGGAGTTGTTTCATAGGTACAGTTTTAAAGCATGGATCACTTCACTAATGTCCTGATCCTCAAAACTCTTTTTTTCCTCTATTAATACATAATCCCTGTTGTTCTGTGTCAGACTTTCCTATTTCTGTACCCTTTACTGGGGTCTGTGCTCTCTAATGCAGAAGGAGTCTGCAGCAAGTGCTGTCTGGGATTCCCCAGAGCACCTCCTTTGCTGTCTGCTTGTTCTCCCTGTCCCCCTCCCCAGCCTTTTTGTGGATCTCCAGTCATGCAGCAGGTGTACTCAGAATTGGAAGAAGGCAGAATTGCAAAGCTCTGTCTTTGCTTGCCACCTGCATGCTATGAGAAGTGGTGCTTAAATAGAAGGAAGGCATTAGCAGAAGGACTGCTAATTCTTTTATATATGAACTCTATCAATGTAGAAAACAAACAAGGGAAGTTTTGCTCAGGCAGTCAAAATAGAGACTGAGTTACAATTTTTATTATCTCAACTTTTTGGATCCTCTCCCCAAACCATGTAGCATTTTCCTGTAATAAAAACTTCTAAATAATGCTAAAGCATAAATTTGTATGAGGCCTTCTGCACACCTGCAATAACAGTCAATTCAATATCGCTATCTTCACTACAGCAGCAAAAATTTTAAACATTTATATATTTTTCAAATTTTTTTAATGTGTAGTAGTTTACAGCTACTGTCATACACCAGTCTTGACACTTGGTGTCAGAATAGCAGCAGAAATTGAAAATGAGAGAAATACAAAGATTTTTTTTTTTTTTTGCTTTTGGTGCTTCTGTGAAGAATGGGAGTTATGAGTTGATCTCTAATGTGTTCGGATTGCTACTGTTGTTAAGTGAATGTGTATGTTATACATTATGCTAAAGAATTGCATATGTTGTCTATCTCAATTAGTAATGCAGCAATGCCTTTTTTTAATATGGGCCTATAATTTGTGTTCAATGCTAGAAGTATTAAACGGTCTGTTTGTAAATCAGCATTTGATTGATGACTTCAGCCATAATTTAATAATTTTTACTTTAGCTGGGTGGCTAAAATACCTTTTAGTCTGCCTGTGATGTAGAGGAGATAATGCTCTAATTTCATGGCAATACCTTTTTTCTGTCATTGATTTAAGAGGCAACCAGAGCTTTGTGGACAGATTTTTGGAAGATGCACGTTATTTTTTTACCTACAGAAATTAACTTGCAAGTTGCAGTGCTCAGTAGGTTAAAACGTCCTGTCTTTAGCCTTAGGTACAGTTAGGCTTCAGGCACAAAGATAATGCTTAAGCTGCAGCTTAAGCACTAAGAATAGCCCCAGAGGAGATGACAGACAAGATCCAGATCCTGCTCGACTGGTAGGTGCTGAATTCCTGTTAATTTCAACAGAATTCGGTGAGGGTACTTATTTCTGAGACAAACCTCTATGTGAAATTATTTTTATTTTTCTTCCTCTCAGCAGAATGTGAAATAAGCATAATTTACTGGTTGGACATCCTTCTACCATGTACACACAGGCTGTCTTAGTTCCCCTAGGCAAGGCTTGTAGCACAGAATAAACGATTTGCACCAGTCACAAGCATCTGTGAATTGTGAAAAATGAGTAGAAACAAAGTAAAGGCAGCACAACACGAACTCTGGGTTTTAATGATGTGAACATGAAAAATAGTTTCTGTGATAGCCAGAGTATTTTGGTCTAAAGGACTGCAAATAAAGGTTATGTCATGAGTTTTAAGGTGATAATGGTGACAGAATTTGAAAAATACGGGGTTTTTTATCAGGAATTACTTTTTGAAACAAGTCTATCAGAAATGATGACAATCTTAAGGATGTTTTAAACTGTCCTTGAAGCAATAAAAGGATAAAGTGTTGATCCTAAGTATATATATGAGACTTTGACATACCTATTTGTATCATGAAAGCTAATAAAGTTTACTTTTCAAGCATACTGTTCAGCATAATAATCTTGATTTGTGACCACTTATGCAAGCATGATGAGCTGAAATCTATCTGAGCAAAATTAATAGAATATGTTGAAGTATAACTTCAAGAAGAGCTTATTAGAAAGGCTTGCAATTAAGAGGAGGAATATCTGTTAGAAAAAACAGGACAAATTAAAGCAGTTCTGCAGAATTGTCTCCTCTCTTCTAGCACTTTCTAGATTCACTATGTAACTGCCATGTCAATAAGTAAATTAAAGCCTTGCCACTCTTGAATGTAAAATGGCATCCCAAATCTTAAATGATTCTATGCTTCATCTTCTAACTGGGGTGCCTTACCCAGGCTGAAACAAGAAAGGCTGAATTCTTAGAGTAAATTCCGTGTAAACCAGGTACTCTTTGTAGAGATTTATCAGCTATGAAATAATTTTGGTGAAAACTCCTGCAGATCTGCTTATGGCCACTTCACCTCTGTGAGTGCTGATAAGCAGATTGTTAGCTCAGCTCAGTGTGGCTCATCATCACCTGCTTAGAGGGAGTGTTTGCACCATTGCATCAGTGAAAGATAGAAATGTTGCAATGCTAAACCTGCTGTGTGTTCTGTCCAAATAAATCAGCAGCTGGCCGGTGACTTCAGCTGCTATCTAATATAAAGGTATAAATACTTCTCTGTAGAATAGGGAAATAAAATTACACAAGGTACACATATGAAATGAATGCCATAGGCCTGCTTAGATATATTGGTCAATGGAAGTCCTGGCCTCGGTGTAGTTTAGCAGAAATTACAATTTCAAGACAAGAGATTGTCAGCAAAGCTATACTTAAAATAGTTAATTTATAATTAGATTTTTTAATAATCTAGGTCTCGATTAGACTAAATGTGAAGAAACTGTAATAACCAAAACAGATACCTCATATTCATGTTGTACTGTATACGTAGTTTTGTTTGGTATTTTATTTTTGTTGGATTTTTTTTTTTTTTTTTTTTTTTTTTTTTTAGAAAAGCTGGAACCAAGGTCCAAAGGCAGAACTCTGTCAGAGGCTAAAATCTCCAAAGGGAGAGAAACACTTCGCCTGAGAGCCAAAGGCCCTGCTACTGTGGAGGAAATGGTATGGTGGGGTATATGCCCCTCAGTAGTTTAATCACCCAGCTTCTGATTTATTCTTCCCCCGGGCTGATAAGTAGGAAGGAAAAATTGGATGTTACAAGTCCTGTGGGACTGAAGAGAACAGCTCAAGTTGATGACTAGCAGGATGGGGCTGAAGAACCTGGAAACACAGAACCTAGATTTAGATGTCATGGACTACATGGATGAGTTTAGATTAGACCAAGGGGTGCTGAAAAGAGGGAAGGGGGGAAAAAAAGAGGTGGGTTGGTTATGAAGAATTTGTTCCATTTCTGACACTGAAGTGTACAGGGCTGGTGAAAGGGTTGTTGTTAGGAGAGGCTAATTAAATACATTGACGTGAATTTGTGCAAGACCAGGATTAGAGTTTGGTGAATAAGTATTATTCATTATATTTATTATTTATTTTATTTATTATTTATTCTGGGCTCTTCTAAAGCTGATGAGGATTTGATGGAGATCTGTCTTGTCAGGAGATATAAGGCCCCTGTTCACTTTGAATGTGTGAGCTGTGTGACTTGATATTAGGAGGAAAGCTCATGTTTGTGAGAAGAGAGAAAGAGAGTAGAATAGTGTGTTTAATCTGTAGATTTTGTAAGTCTAGGTGGCCAAGATGGGAGTAAGGATAATCACTGGCACATTGCTGGTTGTTTTGAAATCTGCATGGATATAATCATACTTTTGCTCTTCTCTCCCTTTATTCCAACAAAGCCAACTGAAGTTGAAGAAAAAGCAATTAAAAAAGTGGATGAGCTTCTTGAAACGTACATGGGCATAAGAGATATTGAATTAGGTGAGTTTTTAGCAGATACATTACTACAAGAGTAAATAATTTCTCATTTTCTGTAGTCTAACATTTATTTGGTACTTTAGTCCCTGGATGTAAGTGAAGCAAAATTTGTCCAGTCTGCAGTCTCAAAAACTTGCATGTATTTCTACAAATGAGTTTTTCTGATAAAAGAATCACCCTCCCACTTCAATCCTTATGATGTAATTACTCAATCAATCCTCTATTCTTTCTGCACATTAGCTATACACTGTTGCATGAATTTTTTAGTTGTTTGCTATAACTGTCACCCCTGTATTCTTTCTGGTATATATTTTCTAGTGGATCTTGTGTGTGCCTTGGTTAAGAATTCTTAAGGATAAGTTTGTTTATTTGCTTTTTTGCCCCTTGGCATAGACCCATCAAAGTTGATTGCTAAGATTTGAACCTGAGATCTTCATCAGTGAACAAGGAACTATTTAGCAAGGGAACTGACAGAATAATTACAGAAATTTATCAAAATCTCTAAAAGCTGTGTTCCGATGAAAACATGAGAAAACTTATGGAACATTTACTAGTTATAGGAATCATTGATTTATAATGAAAGAAACTACTTAACCCCAGTGTCATAAGTTTCTTAAAGATGCACCAAACTTGTCCTTGCAGCTGTTGCTTTTCTTTGTTATTCTGACAACAACTAATAGGAATTTCTGTTTGTGGGGGAAGAAGCTGCAGTCTAGCTGTTGTACCCTGCCGTGGCTGGTGCAATCCTCCTAGGATCTTGTGGAACTGCTGGTACTGAGACAAAGAGGAAAGTATTTATTATTATGGTAATATCTTAAAAGAACCAGCCAAGAAAAAGGAAAGAATAGGCTAAATGGAAAGTGATCTTGAAAAGAAACCTTTCATGAGAGAGAAGTGGAAAAGGCAAAGCAGAACAGAAAATAGGTCTGGTATGAAGCTCCAGAGGGCTCCATCAGGGCTGGAGGGGCAGCAGTTAGCACAGAGGAATGAGAACAAAAGGTAATTACCTCAATAGCCAAAAGACCTTTGTTGGGTGCTCCTCCAGCAAGCATCTGTTTGGCAGATTCCACTAGTTTACTCACAGGAAAAAATGTAGGTAAAACAGTAGTTGTCCTTCAGTCTAAGGCAGAAGAGGGCTTCCTGGCATAGAAGAGAGGGCAGAGCTGCCCAAAACTCGAGTTCTGTTTCGTAGGTTCTATCTAAACTTTCCAGTTCCCGGGAAACTAGAAGTTCTCAACATTTCTATTCCCAGCAACTCTCATGTGTGATGCTGCTGCCATGCAATGCACTCCTGGGAGGCCTGTGTGCTGCTGAGCCACGTTTAGGTTGGGGAGGATTCCATGTCCCATCTCATTCCTGCAACCTCTGTGCCTCAGTCTGGCTCAGGCTTCAAAGCTCTGAGTCCCCTGCCAGCTGTCCCTCTGGGAGCTGTTTTTGTCCTGCAGCTGTTGCAGTCCTGGCTCAGGCTGGGCTTTTGGAAGCTCCTGTCCTTGCAGGTTACTTCCAAGGTCCCCAGGCTCCTTGCCCTACAGGAATAAGCAGCTGTGGGTGCTCTGCTTCTGGTGTCCATGGGAACGGTCCTGTGGGAACTGGTGTTCCCTGTGGTTTTGGCTCTCAGTACTGTAAACAGGATGGCTCTTGCACAGTAGACTGAGAAGTTCAGCTTTCAACACATGGTTGAGTTAATAGCCAAGCACCTGGTAGAGTTTTCCCATGAATTCCTTGAATTATTTTTTCCTTTCAAAAAGATCTAATGCCCTTCATCTTTCAGTATGTAGTTTAGAAACTTAAAAAAAAAAGCCTTAAAAGAATACTCAAAGAAGGAAGAGGTCTTTGTTCATAGAGAGGCTCTTTTGTTCCCAGCTGGGTGGTTGTTTTGTCCCTCACCTCTTCTTTTCCTTCCCAAAAGGTAGTGAAACCAAGAGAAGCTGTCAGAAATCAAAGACTGTAGGGTTCATGTAGCTTTAGTTTGCACCTTTGAAGCCATATCCTGAAGTTCAAATCTAAGAGTCAACAGCCAGTGTTGATGACTCAAACCTCCCAACTTCACAATTTTAAAACAATTAAACAGCTCTAGGATTCTTTAGGAAAGGAGAGCTAATCACCTGTCACAAATCTGTTCAATTAACACATGTCAGTTTTTCACATACTGGATGTGATCAGTCACCCATGAAAATGAAATATGAGGAAAAGATTCATTCAGAGAATGCCAATCACCACTTAGCTCGAAATTTCACTCATTACTCAAGCCAGATTAGTTGAAAATGCAAGTCATCACAATGTGCAGCTGACAAGTGATTAAGATCTCAATCATTGCTCACTTCCATGCACTTCTGTTTGTCAGAATCTTTGGATGTCGGTTAATATTACTCTTTCATCTCCATTAAAATGACACTTCCATGGTGTGATTGAATTCTGAAACAGTGCCCCAGTTTTAAGACATAAGTTAGAAAGAAAGGAAAGAAAAACTAATGTTAAATTACAGACAGAAATAAAGGTGAGATAAAGCCCTTAATTTTTGTATGGTTAAGTATCTTGAAGTTTCAAGAATGGCTGACTAAATCTACACACAAATCTCTAGGCTGGACCAAAATAATTTGAAATTGTTAAAGAAAATGCATGCACTTTTTTTCAGGCACAGTTTTTTATTTTTATTTTCAGAGATCTAAATGCTGTTGAGATTTACATACCTGCATTTGGATGTATTTTTACCTTTTTACTTTCTTACTCCTTTGTACTGAAAACTGTACGTAATCCAGAGAAGGCACAGTTTGCTCTGGAAATGCATTCTTCAGCCATTTTATGGGCATATTAGAAATTGGGCCAAGGATTGACTTCAGCATTCTTTAAAACATAGCTGAGAGATAATTCGGATTATTTTAAATTCTATGAGTGCTTTCTGGTAAAGGAATTTGAGCAGTTGATTAAAAGGAGCAACTCAGGAAACAGTATTAGTGAAAAATATTGGCATTTATTTTTTAAAATCAGTAAGACTTGATTTTTTTATGGATTGTATTTAATCCCAAAAATTCTGGGTGAGAGGAAGCGTGCATTTAACCCCAGAATGCTACCGATTGTAAATGATGGCAAGAGGGCTTGCTGTCCACATTTTTTTTCAGCACCTTTTGGCTTCATCCACCAATATTTTCTTCCCCTTTGTTCTATTTTTCTACTTTTGAATGATTGTTTCCTTTCTGTTGCTCTCTATAATATTATCAGACATGACGTATCATTAGGGTGGGAAAAGAGCTCCAATATCACGAGCCCAGCCCTTGACCAAACACCACCATGCCAACTAAACACAGACTAAGTGTCACACCCAGTCATTTTTTGAGTACTTCCAGCTGTGGTGCCTCCACCACTTCCCTGTGCAGCCTATTCAACGCTTAACCACCCTTTCAGTGAAGAAATTTTTCCTGATGTCCAACCTGGACATCCCCTGGTGCAGTCATGGGCTGCCAGCTTCTCTGGGAGAAAGGTGTGGGGAGCAGAATCCAAGGCTGTACTGAAGTCCAGTAGGCATATCCACAGCTTTTTCCTCATCCTGTGGGTGGGTCATCTGGTCATAGAAGGAGATCAGGTTGGTCAGGCAGGACCTGCCTTTCCTAAACTCATGCTGGCTGGGCCTGACCCCCTGTTTGTCCTGTCCATGCTGTGTGATCACACACAAGATAGTTTGTTTCATAATCTTCCATCACTGAGATCAGGCTGAAATATCCTTGCGTATTCTGTCTTTGTTTAAAAAATTTGAAATCTACTTCTCCATTTTTGACTTCATTTTTCAAACTTACCATCTAGTCAAAATATCTTAACAGGTTTAAACCTTTTTTGTTACCCAGGCTTTTTCTCTTGGCTTGCAAATCAATATTCCATAGATGTTTTTATCTCCAAAAGCTTTAACTGAAGTGATAGTCTCCCTGAATCTCTTATTTTCTTCTTCTGTCCCCAGACTTCTTTTCCCAAAGGATTTCATTGCATACATCCAGGAGTATATTGTTTATGGCTGTTCATTTACTCTGAAAGAATAATGGGAGTTTTTTTGATAAAAGGAAGAGCAGCTAGTCCAGTTAAACAAAATAAACTTCAAGAAGAATTAGTACTTAAGAATAAGGAACAAGAAGAAATATTTCTAATATTTATTGTCTACCAGATCCGACAGTGTTCAACATGAAACTTAAAGCGAGTAATGTTAAATACTGGAAACTGCAATAACATGGTTCATTTTCTGCTTTAGAGTGACAGGGCAGAACAAGAATATTTTGATGAAGGCCAAACTTCTAATAGCATTACAGCTAAATAAATATTGAGGCTTCTGTCAGGACTTCTGAAAAAAGCTTTTTCAGAAGTTACAGTACAGGATATGGGCAGCAAAACCACTGTGTAAGGTAGATAATAAGAATGGCAGGCAGAAGGTAGCTTCCATGGCTTGTGCCCCATGTGTCTATTAAAAATGAAAAAATGTGAAAAATCTTTGAGGTTATTTTAAAGGAACTATATTTGAAAAACCAACATATTACTTGGTTCTTATTCTGGGAAGCTTGACATTAACTTCTCAGTTAAAGTTGATGAGACTTCTAATTCCTTTCACCGCTTTTAAGATTGCTGAACTTCTCACAATTTATGTAAAAATTAATCAGACATTAACATTGCCTGAAGTGAACTGAAAAAAGGAAAATCTGAAAACAATTGAGACTCTTTTGACTCTGGAAAAATATTCTATTGAAATAAAATTCCTGTAATCACTTATTGTGCAGCTCTTACAAGAAGCAGTGGGGTGAAGGGAGGGGAGTGGAGACAATTTGGCACGAAGCTGTCACCCTCTGCGAACCAGCAAAGTTTTCTTCAAGCTGGCCGGTATCCGCTGAGTGCCTTGGCAGTCTGTAGGCTTTGATTTGCCCTGGGAATTCCGCATCAATTCCGCGAATGTCACTGTGCGGCCGGGCGCGTTCTGCGGGCTCTGCCGCCCTGCGAGCGCCGTCCCGCGGCTGTGGCAGCTGCGGGGGGAAGCAGGGCTGCGCTCACGGCTGAGTTCCCGGCTGGCAGGGAAGCTGGCCGGCACGGAGGCAGGGAAGGGGCTCGGAGCTCTGTCAGAGCCCGGCGGTGCGCGGGGAGCGGGGCCGCAGTGCAGCCGGGCCGGCGCTGGAGGTCAGCACCGCGCTGCCAAAGAGCCCGCGGTCCCCAGGGAGCCTGGATCCCTGCAGCAGGTGGAACTGGGAATGCCGGTGTGCTTTAGTGACTCTACTGCATTAAATGTGCCCTGCAGTGCTGATCAGACTTACTCAATACAGGTGAAAATGGGGGTTTTTTGAGGCTGCTTTAGCACGGTGATGTTCTGATTCTTGCTTGACTGGGTTGAAAGTTGATCCGCTAAGTTTTTAGTGGATTTTGTTTTCAAGTTTCGTAAATCTATAATAAATCAGTTTTTTAGAGTCTATTTAGTTGTTTGGGAAGGTCATTCTTTAAAGAAAGTTGTGTTTGAAGTTACACTTTCTGTTACTGACAGTTTAATATGTGCAATTCTGAAGCTTCAGCCAGGGCAGCTGGACTGTGATATAATGCCTTGTTGTCTTGCTTTATTGCTGCTGTCTGTGTCATATGGTTCTTCCATATCTCTTGGCCAATTTGTCTTAAAAATTAGCTACATTCCTCACTCCTACTCTGCTTGAACACTTGTCTAGATCCTTACTCTTTGGGTGGCAGCTTTTTCTAAATATCTGGTGTAACAGTCCCTTGGTGTGTTTGCTCTTACGCCATCTTGCACAGCTCTTTTCTCTCCACCCTTCTCCCTGTGTCTATAAAAAGTAAGTTTACATCCTGCTTCATATCCAGAAATCTGTGAGGTTTCAATTGTACCCTTCACCTCATTGTCTCCAGGCTTGCTTCCCTGTAAGTACCTTCTTGTGCCCCATTGTCAGGGAATATAGAGTGGTGTTACACAACAAATCCTTGTGTCCAACTTACCAGGAGCAAGAGTCCCCTCTTTAATGCCCATTTCCCATCCAGACTTGTCTGAGTCCTGGGGACTTCACAGGGGTCACAGAGAGAATCAGTGCAACAGGGATAGGGTTTCTTCTGGCAGGGTCTTGAGGGTCCTTGAGAACCACTAGTGGTGCCTGGGAAGCTGGGGTAAACTTGAACTGTCTCCATCACAGCAGTTTATTTGTCAAGATTTACATACATTTTCCTTGGGCAGCTTTGTGTAGTTTGACACACTGTGATTGTGTTTGGAGCCTGAACACAGTTAAAACCAAAACATCAAGTTTCCTCAGAATTACTGTTGTTGACGTTTACAATGTGGAATATGGCTCAAACTTGCTTACAGCTTGTTGCATGTTTGCACAACAGCAAATGCTGTTTGCCAGAAGTTCATAACTGTCAATAAAGTTGAGCTGAGTTTTAGGTCAACAAAATAAAATTAATTAAATTTGGTAAAACTTCAGAGCAGGGAATGTTTATTTTTATTTTTATTAGAGAGATTTTGCCATGTTGATTGAATACAGTGTATGTGGTAGATGGCAGACTGTCCCAGTAAAGATGTTTTTCTGTGGCTTCAAAACTTCCTTCCTTTTCTTAGGCACTATATTATGTGTTTTACATTTGGACATGTCTCTAAGAAAAGGCTAGAAGCTATCAAATCCTTCACTTTGACGCTTGAATTTGATGTGCTTGTGAAGAAAGTGGCGGGTATTTGATGTTTAACAAAAGATGGAGGATACCTAGCAGTTTAAGGCAGGGGTGTGAAGTAATCACAAAATGAAGCAGACTTCGATGTTTCATCTATTGTACTATACCATCATTTTCCTGTGAAGAGAGGCTGAGGAGCAGAGATACAGCTCAGAAAACAAACTGTATTCAGCAGTGCTGTCTGTGCTGAGTGTGTCTTACAGAGCATTCTGCCCTCCAGCCATGGTATCTTGCTGCCAGTGGTTCTCTGGGCCCAGCTTAACCAGGAGAAATTCCTGTGCTGACTCTTTTCACCCTTCATGGAGATGCAGGTGTCATGATCAAAAGAGGTTTTCATTTGCTCTAATATCCATGGGTTTCCAGCATCCAGTGTTTGGGTCAGATTTCTAAGTTTTCCTAGAGTCCGTGAAACTGCAGTGGCAAGAGGTGAGGGATGAGCACAGCAACTGAGGAGTCAGTCCTAAGCAGCAGCCCCAGTGCAGCCATTTCAAAAATGAGCCCTGACATTTGATAAAATCTGATACTTTTGTGGTAAATAAGAGAAAATGCTGGACAATATTGGTATACAAGATATCACAGTTTAAGTCCATTGTATCGCTCCTCTGCTTTCATTCTCCTGGACTCCAAGATGTTCCTGGTGCTTGGTGGCTCCAGTTTCTTGTGCACAGCAGCAAAACCTTTCTCTTGCTTCTGCACAATTTGACCCACCTGGCTGAGATTTTCATATAACTTTTTCACTTTCTAGAGGCATAAGCATGAACTTTGAGTGCATAATTTCCTGTTGAATCCTAAATTCACCTGATAGACTTTGTATCTTCCTAAACTGACCTCACCAGCTGTTGAAAATAGACATCCCAAATCCTATCCATCCCTATCTTGGCCCCTGTGTGTTAGCTGCCACTTTTATGATAATTACATTCTTTTGTTTTGTTGCTTTTTAGCTGCAACAATTGTGGAAGCTGGAAGAGACAAGAAAAACCCAGATGAATTTGCAGTGGCCTTGGATGAAACTCTTGGAGACTTTGCATTTCCAGATGAGTTTGTATTTGATGTGTGGGGAGCAATAGGTGATGCTAAGCAAGGACGACTGGAATGAGAACTGTGGAATTTATCAATCCCTGTTTGAAAATACAACATGATTTGCAAATACATCAGAACGTTAATAACTTTATTGATGTGAATTCAGAGTGCTCTGCAGAAGTATTCTGACCTGAGATTTTTCTTTGCAAAGGAAGGTTTCTAATAGAAATGAAGGTAAACCCAAACTTGTGACAACTGCAATTTAAAACATCTCATTTACATATAGAAATCACTGTGAGGAGAGTGTCCAGGTGATATATTTATACAGAAATTTTATGAAAATACACTTGTACATACACTTTGATAGCAATATTCTGAAAAGTGTTAGACATATGCAACTAGGAGTTTGGATTATTTTATCTCTTTAGAGAGGTTTATAATGCTGTTGAGAAACTACCTAGCTTCATGCTGCAGTTCCCTGGTTTTCTGCTGTTCCTGTGCGTTACCCTAAAGCCTTAGGTTTTCCTACAGTTTGGCCTGGACATTGTTTTTACTGTAGGCAAAGCTGGGAAGAAGCTACCCTGTTTCTTTAAAACCCAAAATCAGGGGAAAAAATATTCCTCTGAAACATGAAAACTAAGATCTTTGGATAAGAAAGACTTGCTTGCATTTGAGTCATAATATGCTCTGTCTGGGTTATTACTGAGGTAAATAGAGTGGAAATGCTTAAACCAGGAAGCTGCTGCTTTATTCAGATGCCATAATATTGCAATAGGAACTGCATAGAAAGAAATACATGTTAATTTTGATTAATATTAATGCATTTGAATGATATCTGGAGACTGCACTGGAGACTACAGTGTATGTCTAAGTGCTTAATAGATCTTTGCATATGCTAAATGATTTCTTGAGATCCCATGGAGTTCCCATCTTGTCTGTGTGTTTTTTCAACATGGCAACACAGGAGAGATATTGAAGGTGTTCAGACCCAAAAAATATTATTGTAAAGTCACAAAGAACTGTAGTTTGGATGACAATGCATGCCTAGACCCTGAAAAATATGTTAAACTAATCTTAGATGTTAGGTTTTCCAATTATATTGTACATAAATGTTTATTTTGACTACTAATTTTTTACTTACAAATCTGAGATTATTGCAAATGAAATTGAATGAGACTGTGGGTTCTGACCTGGGAAGGTGTCATATCTTTTCAGTATTTTTATATTTGCATAAGAATATAAAGTAATAATTACTACAAAAGTTTTTTTTCTAAATCACTACCTGATTAAAATGTCTTTCACTGAATTGCAGAGATCTCTTTAAAATAAAGATTATGCCAATAACTTTACATGTTCTATGTCAGTGGGTTTTTTTGTCTAAAACCATGACACTTTGAAGTATCATTGAGAGAACAGGTTCTTGTTCTCATTATTAGGTCTTTGAGGAAGGATTCTAAACTCCAGGAAATTTCTATAAAACTTGAAAATAAAATTGAAGAAACCCCAAGGAGATGGTAAAATTTTGTAAATCCCATTGCTCATTTGGGCCCTCATGGATGTATTGCTTTGCAAAAGAAGTTTGAGCATTTCTTCATTTTCAGTAATTGTGAGTCTGAGCCCACAATTTTCTGTTGCAATTGAGCACACTCTGTCTTGTGCAGGGCTGCTTTAGCTGATTTACTCATGGTAATGAGGGGTTAAAGTGTTGTGGGCCATATAATTTGTTCTTTAAACTTCTAGGTGAAAAGCAAAAAGGAAATGCCAAGAATTCCTTTTTGGTTTCAAATCATAAAACTCAAATGTCAAATTTTGTGGAAGTGTTTATGTACACTACTGTTAGTTACCAACATGCCACTGGTTATAAAATATATTAAAATTAGGAATTCCTTTAAGAGAAGAGAAAAAGTACTATGGATAATGCACAAAATGCTGCCTGTAGAAGATAACCCCTTATGTTTTGACCATTCATTTTATTTTGAGAAATTAATGTTGTTCAATCAATTTATACTCATGGGATAATTTGTCTCATTACACTGATAAAATAGTAAGATAAAAATAATCTCTGAAACTATAATTCTACAGAGAGCTGCCTCTTGTCACAGTGGCCTATTTTTGTGGAGTTTATTTCAGGCCTAAGATTTAAATAGTGATTGCAATTTTACTAGCATTTACTGCAGTAAAGCATGTCAATATATCCTACTTTTTCTGTGTTCTTAAAGCATATTTCCAGCACATAAGACAGGTACCACTGCCTAATTTGGTAGATTATTTGCATTTTCCAGCCATATATGAATAAATTGTCCCATGAAAATCACACTGCCTTATAAAGCATGATAAATACTTCTCTCTCTTTCTAATGATTTGTGTAGCAAATTAATGTTGTTTTACTAACAAAATACAGCCTTTAAAACCTAGTCAATAATGACAGTAATGCTTTGTACAGTGAAAATGTCATTAAATGTCACTACAAAAGTCTCCCAGGTTAGTTAGACAAACTAATCCTACGACATCAGCTCTATTTAAGTGCTGATCAGAGTGGGACTATGAACATCTTGTAGTGTGTGCTATACATGGAGGTGAATGTTGGTGAATAGTCCACTCCAAATCTGAGGTGGAATGGCCCAGAACAGCAACTCAGCCCAAATGCTGTTCTAAAGTGGCTGATTCCTTGCTTTTACAATTTGGTGCAGAGCCAGCAGAGAGCTGGCAGACAGCTGCAATTTGTGCCTTTGCTTCCAGACTTACTGTTCAAGACAATGGAAAACACAGCTCTATTTTTTTCTATTTTTGCAGAGTCTTTAGGTAGTCTTTAGATGCAACAAGGGGATTTAATGAAATCTGGTGTTCATAAAGTTCTGAGCTCATAATTTAAAAAATATGATGAGCGATGAATATTTTACACTTTTAAAGGAACAAATTTTGCAAATTACAGATACATCCTTTGTGACACCTTTAATATGCCAAATTATGCTTCAGTTAAACCTGATTTTATGCAACCCTATTCATACAGCTATTATTCAAAGAGCTATTAATATAATCAGTCTATTTAGGAAAATCTTGTCTGCTATTCAGATTTGAATAAAGCATATACTCTTATTTCTTTATATTATTTTCATCACAATTTGTCTAATTTCTCTTTTTTTTTGAGATAAATGTAATAGAAAGCTTTGAAAACCTTGATTTTTGTGAATTTGAAAGTGCAATATTAATGTTAAAATGAAACTAATTTGTAATATTTTGTTAGATTTTTTCTTCCTGCATTTTAATGAGAACTTCTGGTACTTTTCAAATTAAATACTGTTTTTGACGAAAAGAGTTCTGAGAATGTCTCTTCCAAAGTCTGAGTATTGTAATAAGATGATATATTACACTTTTTAGTTTTCCTCTTTTTTTTTTTGCCAGGAGGTATTTCAGAACAATTAGAAATCAAGGTCTTGACTCTTTCCCTTTTTGAAAGAAAGGCATCTTTGCCATGAATTTCAGAACTCAACTCTAGCAATAAGAGCTTCATCTGAAATTGATCTTCAGTATTGTTTTCCTGTCCAATTCTCTGACTCAATATGTTTGTAAGACATTTTGCATTTAGATGTTGTTATGCACTAAAATATCTCTGACTTGGTTTATGAAAATATGAACAAATGTACAGACTTGGATGTCAAAGAGAAAATCCTCAACGTTTCATTAGGATACTTGTAAATAGTAACAACTTTGAATAAAAAGATAACAACTTTGAATAAAAAGAATGCAGCCTGCAGTACAGACTTTGTCCTCAGAAAAGGTATGTTTAATGTGTGAGATTGAGGCACTGACAACTAAAATGGATTGAGACTGTATAAATGTACAGAAAATATCTTTTTTTTCACCTGTTGCAACATGCACTGTCATTAAATAGAATGTGTGTCTAAATACAACAACAAAGAGTCTGTAGATTGAACAGAAGCAAATCTCCTGATATATTGATATTGTCTTTATCTCTCCTCTTCTGCTGTTTCTAAACAGAGAGGTTGAGAACAGCTTTTTCAGTTTTCTTTAATGGCACTCCTTACCTAAATCTCCATTGTGATGTATGATCTTTTTCAGAAAAATATAGCTGTTGGTTTTGTACCTGAATCATTGTTTTGTGGGGTTCTCCCAGTCTCCTGGGAAATAATGCAGATTTTCAAGTCGTTGTAAACTGATTTTACTGTAGTATTTGAAAGAGGGGGAAAATCAGGGAGAAAGAAATGTCTGCTGCTCCAGTGGTTCTGGTAGCAGAACTGCTGCTATGGCTCTTGGCATGTTTGCCAAGGAGCTGTCTTGCTCTGCTAATGTTTGATAGGAACGTGGGCTCATGAATGTAGTATAGAAATTATTGCCTTCTTTTGGGATGAATGATAAAATATTTTATTGTAATTTTTTTAGCATAAACTTCATTCACTAACTATATGAAGGAAATAAGGTATTTGAATTTTAGATGAGTTCTAGCTGAAGAAACATATTGCACCACAATATCTAATAATGCAAGTTTCTGCTTACAGAAAGTATTGGTTTTTCAAGTTTCCCAAATCCTTATTTTGTGCTTTTAACAGGGAAATAATGGTGAACAATGAGGGAGGAGACCTCTTAGTTTAGTGGAAAAAGTTTTAATGACAGACTTAGAGTTACAAGTTGTGCTAGTAACACAGATGACCTGACAACGATTTGTGTAATCCTTTCACTGGACAGCTCTTCCAGTAAAGGCACAAATTTGTACTTTATATACATAAACCCTCTCTGGCTTGAAATGGGAAAGCAAGCATGGTAAACCCATTGCAAGTCACAGTCTCCAGGCATTCACATCACACTATTGAAATTTCTTTTAAAATCCTTCACACATACTTTCCAAACATTCTTATTTTTACAATGTGGATTTTGTTTCCAATGAGTATTTTAAGAGATAATTTTACTTGCTGAGCTTAAGTTTTGAAACCAGTAAGCCTTTTTCAATGCATCTCTAAGTAAGTTAAATTTTTAACCATCAGATACAGAAACCAATCAAAGAATGACACAAATCTCAGCTCTGTTGGTAACAATACCTGAAATGCCCAATGGGTGTTTGCCATTAGCATGTACAAATTTGGTAATGAAAAAATCCTAATTGTAGGACTACAAAAGTGGAGGTTAGCCTTGTCTTTCTATGTCAACAAACTAAAACTGCATGTTGTTTCACAGTTGATATGTTTTCATTATCTATAGAGCAAACCAGAAAAGAAAGGGAGTTACAAGTATGACCTCTTTCCAGGAACAGGAGCATTGTGAATTGAGGTGAAGCTCTAGATAAATATGCTATAACTACTTTCTCCTTTGGTAAAGAACAAGCTAAAACCTTTCAATATGAAGGATAAGTGAATATAGCTTTAACAATATTTGTCTTTTAGAATTTTGTGCTACCAACTGAATGTGCAATTTTCTTGGCAGGGTTCTTGGTTAGAGTGAATTGCTGCAAGGGAAAGGTTCATGAAACTCAGCTCAGATTGGTGGTTTGGCTCATAAGCTCCAAGGCAGATAATAGATTGCCTGTGAGAGAACCAGCTCTTTTCTTGAGCTGTGCTAATTGTCAAACTATTGAGCTAGTGAATTTACCAGAAGACTTTCTTAAGAATTGACCCAGGGGATGATTTCTTTTTTAAAGAGGCAAAAAAAAAAAGAGACCATGGCACAAGAAGTAGACTTATGTTAATGAGATTGTTGAGGACATAAACTGGGAAAGATGACATGACAAAAAAGAATAGTGGAATACTTTCCAACAAGACTGCCTTTAAAACTTGATTAATAGTATTTTAATAGTTCAATAGTTTAAAATGAAAGGCCATAACTTCAAATTTAAGGGATCAAGGGAAGTTCTTAACTGGAGATGCTACATGAGAAATACCTTGATGCCCTAGTCATTCATTGAATGACTGACCCACCTGAGGGCTGCAGCTGGGAAAAAGTGACTGCTGTGCATCACAGGAAGGAAGACCAATGTTGCCACCCAGAGCAATGGTGTCTTCAGCGTAGGTGGTTTTGAATGTTGCTGCTCCAAAGGTGCAGAGGGAAATGGCTTTTCTTGCTTTTCTTTTGTGTGCTAAATGTATGGAAGCTGTGTCAGGAGAGGAGATGCCTCTGGAATGCAGAGCTTGCTACTGCTGCTGGAAGTCAAGAAGAATCATTTCTATCCACAGCTACTGGACTTTAGCTTTGGTGTTAAAAGATGGATCCTGGGTTTTGTGTGGATTTGGTGTGCTACATTAATTTTTTATCTTTGATCTATGTTTAAAGCCATCACTGCAACTTTTGAGGGTGGGGAAGGAGGCTGCCAGGAACAGGTGAGAGACGTTCTAGTCTTCATCTAGAATTAGGTGTAGGCACGGAGTTGCCCAGGACATAGGAGGGGACAGAGCTAAGCTCTGTTCATCTTCTAGCTGTGCTTGAATGAAGAAAGGAAGCAGACAAAATGGTGTCTGTGGATTATGCTGCAGACTGTTGCTTGGGACATTATTTTCTCCATTGTCTAGATTTCTAGTCCCTAGTAAATAAAAAAATGCCTGTGATTTGTACCCTGCTAAACTCGCTACAAAATGCTCTCCTTCTGTATTTCTGGCCTTTCAAATTTGTGGTTAGTCTCTTGAATGATCAGGGGAAAAGGGATTAGTAAATAGCTTTGGCATTAATCTGTATTCAGCTCTGTGTTGAACATCCATTATTTTTATGATTATAATAAAATGAATAGCAGTGTAACAGCTGCCTTGGGTTTTCAATTAAATGCATTAATACATATGCAAGAAAATTGCTTGTCTCAATAGTATTTATAGGGAAAAGAATATTTTTCAAGATTTGTGGCAAATCATTATTATGCCTTTTTTTAATATGGCATTTGGAAATATGAGAGTGGAATTGCCAGCATGCTGCTTTATTACTTGCAAGTGGAATGTGTGATAATCAGCCCTTTGCAACACTTCTTAATGATGACAATTTTCAATGCATAAATATCAGCTTTATAACTTGATGAACAAGTCTGGAGCCAGTGCCTGGTTTAGTAAGAACATGGTTAATGCTTGCAAAAGTTCCTAAATGCATATTTACAGCTTTGCAGAGTTATTTGAAAAATAAATTTTGATGGCATGACTGAAGTGTGTTTATTCCAGTGAAGTCCTGGTTTATTCTGATGGTTTGAGAGTTGGGGGCATTTGCTTCCCTCATTGTTTCCAAACTGCTTTATTTTCTTCATCTTTGCTCCAAGTCAAAATGATGCCTTTGACAATTTCGTTTGCTTGCAGCTTACATTCTTCTCTGTGCCTGTTAGCTTTGCCAAACAACACTGAACAATAAGGGAGTCACTTTTCCAGCCAGCTCAGCTTTTGTCAAACTTTGCACTCCAGCTCATTCTTCCATTCTTTCCAGCTGTATTTTGTATCTGGGGCCTCATGTTCCTGCCTATGAGTCTGAAAGAAAGGTCTTATCATACTCTTTTTACAGATGTGGTTCCTTATGTGGGAGTAATAGGCTGCCTGGTGTCTATTAATATTTCCACCATAACAAATGCAATGGCAAAAGTCACCTTGACTTTGTAGCGTAGAAGTTGACTGATTATAAAAAAAAAAAACCAAAACAAACCCACCAAAATTACCATCCTGCTATATTATTTACTTCATTTCTAGAGCAGGTAGAAGTTCAAGAAGCTCTCTAAATCTTCATTCCCTTCTCCAGAGCCAGTAATAAAGCCTAACAGGTAATAAGCTCACTAGGTAATAAGCTTACTATGAGACAAGTAGTGTTACGTGCATAATTCATTCATTTTACTCATAGCACTAAACCTCTTTTATTGAATTGTTTCACTGCAGAAGGATTTTAATCTTCTATTAGTAAGAACACCTAAATAAAATCATTAATAACCTTGAACCAGTTAGACTGTGAAACTTGCAGGATTGCCATCTTTCTTCCCAATGCCACTCTATCTCCCATGATCTCACACCCAAGACTCCTGGCCTTTCTCCTTTACCAAACTGCTGTTTGCTAATTTACACAGAAACAGAGGCAGGTAAGAGAAGTGTTATGAGTGTTCAATTGTTGCAATTCAACATCATCTATCATAAACAGTTGTCAAAATATTACCCTCAAAATCATCACAGAAAGTTCTTTAGAATCCAGGGCAGTTTGCTCAAAAGCCTTAAAAAACAATCTGAAATTATTTCTATCTGATACTGTCACTGTGGTAGATAGAAAATGACTCCTGTGATACATTTAATTGGACAGAGAGTGCAGATTTCATTAATTTAAGAAGTTTATTTTCTACGGTGTGAATGATTTATAAGGGGGTCATGATTGCTGAGAGGGTTAAGTAAGGAGAAAAAAAAATTCTATTGACACACTTCAATTTATGAACAGAATGTGTTTTGTTTGTCTGGAAAAAGGGTTCTTTATTGACTGCAGTTAATAAACCTGGATTTTCATACTAGGTTTTCACTGTCTGAGGAAGTACCTAAATCTAATCTCAAGCATCTGTCCTGAAAAACATCTCATCTAGGCAAGGACTAGCTAAGTATAGACAAAGTAATGTGTGTGATCAACTCTTGGTAGGATTTACAAGAAAAAAGGTTTTTATATTTGCTTACAAGCATGTGGGGACAAAAACATGAACCCTGCTTTGTCAGAGTCCATGGAGAGGCAGGGAAGGATTTCTCCTGGAAAATGTGGAATGACACTTCTCTTTTCAAGACTGAAACAAGCTTTTCAGCAGTTTCTGCTTCCTGCTTCTTCCCTTGGATTAATTCCAACCAGCTTCTTGCAATTATCTCCCCATT